AAAATGTTCTACGCACTTGAAAATGGTTCTTTTTGAACTGATCTCTGAAATCGTCTTTGGGTAACCCAAAATGTTTTTTCTATTAACCATTTTGGGTTCCCTCTTTGATTAGCTGCGTTTACCCTTCAAATTGCGCAAATTGAAATTGTGAATCGGAAATACAACCAATGGAAACAAGTCAGTTTTGCAGAAAACTCCCATGTATCGCAAAAAGTTTATATGTTTGCATGAGGTGGTTTTCCAGGAAATTGGAAATAGAAATATTTTGCAAAACTTCAATTGAAACTTGTTTTTAGTTTAGTTTCAATAGTTTTTGCGCATTTACAGGTCACCTGGTGTACGTAACAGTCCATCATTTTTTAAAGATGACGCGGTATGTTTGGACAGAGTTCTTTGTTAAACTTTTTATTAGTCTTTTCTTAACATTAAAGGAGTAGTTTTGAAAAAAACTTTTGCTGATAATTTACTCGCCCCCATGTCATCCAAGATGTCCACGTCTTTCTTTCTTCAGTCAAAAAGAAATGAAGGTTTTTGATGAAAACATTCCAGGATTTTTCTCCATATAATGGACTTCAATGGGAACCAAACGGTTCAAGGTCCAAAAGACAGTTTCAGTGCAAACTGTTCAAAGGGCTTTAAATCCAGATGATGAATAAGGGTCTTATCAAGCAAAAAAGATCGCTCATTTAATAAAAAAAAAGTTTTATAAGCTCAAATGCTCGCCTTGCTCTGTTCTGTGTGACTCTCCTGTTCGAACTCGTTTATCAAAATGAACGAATCTTTTTCAGAGTCAATTGGTCATTCAACGAACGAAACGAACAAATTGATTTGGAAAAAGATTTGTTCATTTTGATGAACGAGTTCGAACAGAACAGAGCAAGGTGAGCATTTGAGCTTATAAAACTTAAACTTTGTTATTTATTTTAAAAATGGCCGATCGTTTCGCGTGATTAGACCCTTATTCATCATCTGGAATCGTTTAAAGCCCTTTGAAAATATCGCAAAAGATCCAGCATGTGATCCAAAAAAATCGCAAAAGTTTTGCACAAATCTGTAATGGTAACGCGGCTAGGGATAAGTTCGTAAAATAAATATTATTTTATTAATCTAAAAAAACTTGTTCCACTATAAGAACATTTTGTGGAAAGGCTTCTTCATGGGACCATCTAACCCAAAACATAAAGCTCCTTGATAATAGTGACGGCGGCTCACTTGTGTTTGGAACAGAGCCAATGTCATTAGATATTCGTCCATCTTCGTTTCATTTTCTTTTCTTTTCTCTGATCGCTCTCTTTAGGTATGAACTGATTGGCCCACAGATGCGGACCTGCCGGGATGGAGGCTGGGACGGAAGGGTGCCTGTGTGCGAGCGTATGTCGCTTTTCTGACAGTTTCCATTTTTCTATTCTCTTCTTGATTTTAAATATCGAAATCCCAATGCTTTTTAAATAACACAATTGGAAACTAAAAGACGGCATTTTCTTTACATTAAAACAGGGTCAGGAATAGAATACATGATTACAGTCATTACTACACACTAAATGTATTATTTGTATCCTTAGCCTTAAATTCCCTTTATTGATAAAACACACTTTTAGCATTGAGTGATCGAAGGTTTTTCAATAACCTGTTTAACTTTAAGGAACCATACATCAGTGTATTATTATTTTTTATATTTAAATTCATAATCATTTATAATTATTTGTCATTTAGATAGTTGTCATTTGATTTATCATTTATTCATATTATTATTATTTGATTTAAATAATTGTTGAGTTGTCATGTTATGTTTTTATATTTTATATTCCTTATTTCTTGCTCATGCAATGCTTGCTGTTGTTGTTAGGCTAAATCTCATTAGTGTCTGGGTTAAAGGGATGTTTGTCTTCATGAGTTCGAGATGTGAGAGAATGTCTCAATTTCAAGGTTTTTATCGTCATAGGGCGATGTTGTGACGCAGTCATTTTCCGTTGTTTTTCCCGTGGTATAATAGCACTAGTTGGACTCGTACGGAAGTCAGGCATTGAGAAGTGTAACATCTAGATGAAGTCAGGCATTGAAAGCACTCAGCTCTTTTGTTATCATCACTTCGTCTCCGCTTCTGCTCTTCTCTTTCTCAGACTGATAGAAGACTTAATAGAGTCTTGAGGTAAAAGAAGTTCAACATACTAAAAACAATAATCTACACTAATTAATGTGTTTATTCTTGATGGAAGCCTTTTTGATTAGTTTGAATGATTTTGAACTCGAGTAACCATGAAAAAACTGAAACTGGTACTGGCGTATACAAGATAATTACATATGAAGTATTTATAAGCTGTAGTTTTGATGTGATATATTTGATTCTTTTGAAGTTGTATTTGGTCTTTTCAGAAACATGTCTCTGTGGTGTGTTATAGCTGTAACATGTTGGATAAAATTCTGTAACAAATTTGTCGTGTCCGAATTCCTCGCTTCGTTTCGTTCACTCCTTGCTGATAAAGTGCACTCGACTGCCAATCATTATAGGGATCAGAGAATGAGTAAACAAGTCCACGAGGGTCGATTCCTATGGGCTATCCATAGTCTGGGATTGTATTGTTTCCCCATCCCTGATGACAGTGTGTGTTTGTGTGTTTTGCAGCGGTTCACTGTCCTCCACCCCCAGAGGTCCAGGGTGCCGAGATCTCCGAGCACATGAATGACTATGTTCCCTTCGGTCACGTGGTGTCCTATCACTGCCGTTCTGGCGCTCTGATTGGTGCGAGAGAGATTCACTGCACACAGAAGGGCACGTGGAGCGCCCCGCCTCCTGAGTGTAAAGGTAACTATTAAAAGGTCACTAACACTATTCATGAAGTTGTGTAGTTATGATATTTTAGGGTTTCAGGTTGGGTAAGATGAACCAACCAAAATTTCTACTGTGCACAATGATATTTTTGGCCATATATATATATATTTTTTTTTTTTTGCGAGACAATAAATTCCATTTATCGTGGATTTTGCTGAACACATATTAGTGAAATATTTCTATGGCCCCTTTATTTGAATAGGTTAATTAACAGACTTGTTCCTGTGCCTTTCAGACATCGTCTGTCCTCAGCCACATGTGCCACGCGGATCAAGAATGAGGGGTTTCAGGTCTGTCTATAAATTCGGGAACACAGTGACGATCGTCTGCAATCCTGGTTTGAGGCTGATTGGAGAGAGTTTCGTCACCTGTGGCCCAGACGGGAAGTGGAAACCAAGACTTCCAGATTGTGAGCGACAGAACAGAAAATATAAATATTGAAAGTCACATTTAATACAGCTGGTAGTCTCAGTCATAATGAGTCACTGTATTTCATTAAAAAGAGCAGAACACTATTTAATATTTACTCGAGAGTATTGATTGTCATAAAAGAACTATATGATGACTTGATAAAACACCTTTTAGAATTCATTACTTTTTATATATGAATTATGTTAACCTACAACATTATGGATGGATACTATTTTTATTGCTTGTTTGTATTTTTCTATTCAGTATAAATAAAATGAGAAAACACTAAATTTCTTAAAATCGAAACGTTTGGTTATTTAATCAGCGCAAAATGGGCTCAAAGCAACACATGTTGTGATAACACTTCAATATTTGTTATATTAGTTAACATATAAATAAATAACAATAAACAAATATTTTGTATTAATCTTAACTTCAACATTTATTAAAATTTGATCAAATGAAAAGTCGTACATTATTTAATGGACCTGAGCTGAACAATAAATAAATGAAATTTTGTCAATTACTTTAACGAATAATGATGCATAATGCACTAGATGTATTGCTCATTGTTAGATTATGTTAGTTAATGTGCTCATCCTGCGTGTGTCTCAGTGGGTCTAATACCCCAGTATGATGTTACAGTCAAAAAGCATGTCTGTGGTTAAGTTGGTTAAGTTCATAAGTTGTTTTAGTGTAACGCTGGTGTAAAAGAAGAAAACGGGTTAAAAAGATGAGCAGAAACACATCAGAAGATAAAAGACATTCATTCTCTCAAGATCCGATTAAAGGCTCAAAACACGGCGTAGCATTTGTTGATCGTCACCCTTGTTGAGATTTTTGATGTCCGTTTCTGAATGATACAGTAGGTCAAAACTTTTTTGTGTGTGTCTTTAAAATTATGCAATTAAAAATAAATATCCTGTGTATTAATTTTAACTCCAAAAGAATGAAATTATTCTGAAATAGTAAGAATATGTACAACTCAATGTTTTAATTAATTGAAAAAGCTGAATAATCGTTCCAAACTTAACGATTAGCCGGCAAAATAATCGATGAGTAGTCGATTAATCGTTCTAATAATCGTTAGATTAATCGATTATCAAAATAATCGTTTGTTGCAGCCCTACCGTTGCAAGCATTTTGAGAGGTGTTTCGACAGTTCCGAGCCACCAAATGACAAATAGGAAAAAAAAAAATAATTTGTATTCGTCATCCTAAAAATTCGTCACGCACAGAAACCTTGCACACTAAAAAAACAAAAATAACGACTTTATTCAATTGTCCATTTCCTTCCCTGAGGGCCTCGAGATTTCACGTAGTGTGACAGAACAGCGCTTCTGTGTTGTACGTCACACACATCAAACACATGACCAGCGTCGGCCAATAGTGAGCGTATGACGTGCAACCTAGAAGCTTTGCGCAGTTTCACTACAGAAAACAGTTGATTGAAGTCGTTTTCTCGTCAAAGTATTCTCGTCACTTGATAAACTTAAGGTTGAGCCACTGTAGTCACTCGAACTATTTTAACGATGTCTTTACTAACTTTTGGGCCGGCCAGTTTCGATCCCTTAGGAAAGCCTATGGAGGAGTGATCCAGCTCCAAAAATATCTTAATTCGTGTTGTGAAGATGAACGAAAGTCTTACGGGGGTTGAAACAACATGAGGGAGAGTAATTACTGACAGAATTTTCATTTTTTGGGTGAACTATCCCTTTAAGGGTTTTGAATAAAGAGTAAACGCACTGTTACTGCCAAATCAGACTTCACTAGTCACAAAACTAACCTTGAGTATTTCTTGATGGTTTTCAGAGGCGTAAAGTCTTCCATCTCTTACAATGTCTTCAACCAGCTGCTCGTAGTCTTCTAAAGAAAAATAAAATCATGCGCATTTTAGTGACAATGAATGTCGAGAATGGACAGAAATCCACCTAAAATCCACCGTACCGTCATAAGTGACGTAGGAAATCTGGAAGCCGCGAGCGCTGTTTACATCGTTGGATTTGAAGTTGATCCAGAGGCGGCGAGATCGGGCCGTGAACGCGATCGGCCTCTCGTATGTCTGACATGTCTCATAGGTGGTGATGGAGGTTGCTGACCCTGAGAAGAACATTTATTAGTGTTTAAATCAAAATTTGGAGGGTTTAGTCCCATTAAGTCAATATTTCAAATGTCTTTTATAGAAAGATTAGATCCTTCATACATGATATCACCGTTTTACCATTTTCTTCATTCAGCCAATTTTCTGATATTTAGAAGAATATCAGTAACCAGACATTTTCTGGTCCCATTGACTTCCATAGTATACATATTTTTTCCTACTATTGAAGTCAATGGGACCAGAAACTGTCTGATTACTGATGGATTCGAAAATGGTAAAACCCAACTGTTTAACTCTGGGGGAGTTGTAAAATGTGCCTATTTCCCCCAAAAAGTGGAGTATCCCTTTAAAGAGTAAAATAGTTTTTGACACAGAGTACAACAGTTGAGTTCAGCAAGTAACAACTCATAGGGGAATTGATTTTTAATGATAACGTATACACTTTTGAAGACAGATCAGGTCTGAGGTTGTTAATCAATGATATATGCTCTTAGCCTGATGTCATCATCATTCTCAGATTTTAGCTAGAATGTGAGTTTGATACTGTTTATTGGGTTGTGATTATGAGGTGTGTTTCAACCGAACCAGGAAAGAAAATGCCTCTGCACTCAATTGGATAGACCTACTACAACCAATCAGAGCAAGGAGTAAGTGATGTATGCTGAATCCTGCAGGAAGGACAGCAAAAACATCTTTCCGATCAACAAATGGTTGGTCGGTTGGTTTTGGATCTTTGCTTACAATGCGTTTACAAAAACTATTAAAATCTCTATTCGAAAAATTAATGGAAAAAATACTTTCGTAACCAACGGCACAGGAAAAGTGTGCAGGCACTAATGCACTAACCCTGGAAAAGCACAAAAACGTACAGTTCTTCCTCATGATCCTCGGATGGGAGGAAGATCTCCGGGACCACGATCAATATCTTGCGTTTGTGTGGAGGGTTGATGGTCCAGACACACTCTACATTGGTTTCCAGGATAGTTGGGGGACTCATCCGATGAACTCGAATCCTGAAACTGACCAATGCTACTCAACAAATAAATAACATATTTTGGCTCATTTATGTTGCCTCCCCAATAATCACTGAAGAGTATTCAGATTTACTATTCATATTCTTTTAATTTAAACATGTTTGTACAAGTTTCATTACCAGTATTGATATTAATTTATTCCGAAATAAATGATAATAAACCACGTTGATTTATGTTGTTTGTGACCCAGTCCCAGATATATCCCAGATATATGCAAAAAAATGGATGCACAACTAACTTAGCTATCGGGTAAAGCATTCAATCGTGCATAAAATAATCCATATTTAAAGGAAGAAAATGGTGAAAAGGCATTCCTGTAACGTTAGCCCTTCAAAGTTCAAACACAAAGGTCATGGGCTCGATTCACAGTAAGGAGAGCATTTATAGTGATAAAAATGAATGCAAAAGTTTTTGGATAAAAGCATCTGTGAAATACAAATGGAAATGGAAAAGTAAAATTAATAAAAGCTGAATAGCAATGGTAAAACAGCAACTCAGCAAGCGTTGTATGCAAATTATAATCCAGCTTTTTTAATCTTTTATTTTATTTTTTTCCAATGTTCCTTACCGATAGCCTACTTATTTACCATGAGACCAGCTTACTATGAACTTTACACAAGGCGGCGCATTGAGGCTCATAAAGCCGAATCCTCACAAAAGTAACGTGCTTCTTTGGCGCTGGACAATGAATTAAAAGCGAATTATGATACTGAGAAGGTATAATAGCTATTAGATTAAATACAAAGCAGCTATTTTACCTAAAGGAATTGTGTTTTAACTAACCCCGCCCATCGTATCACTCACCCCAGTTTCACGCAAACTTCCATCTATCCATTTTGATTTCTACTGTTTTCTACGCCCTGTGACGTCATCATCGCGCATGCGCAGTGGAGTCTGCCTGTCCAGCGCTTCCTAAACACGAACGGATTCAAACTCTTGCGGGTAACGTTTCGATTTATACATTATTATTTGAATTGCGCATTTTTCCTCTACATACGCACGTATTTATCGCTGTTTTTATCGTATTTAATGAAGTCAATTTGGGCGAAGTGTAAACATTGAGCGATAAACCTCAAAACATATTTAATCCGTTAGTTCAAGCCTATGAACAGGATTTTTATAATTAATCATTGATAAGAAATGCAATTACTGATCACACTAACAAACTATACCATGGTATTAACGTTTAGCATCATGTTTTTATGACTCATTTGAATACAAAGGTATAGTAATGTAGAAATCATTACTGAATGTTTACCACAATGACTACCATTGTATTCAAATGAGTTGTTATATGCTTTATATGAAGGTATTATAGTTAAACCATGATTCTAATTAAAAAGGCCATTTTCCTTCCCACACCCATCAGATGCTGATTGACAGCTGTCAGATGCTGATGACCTCATGGCCTCGTCCTCTGAGGTGAACGTCCACATGGAGGAGGTGGTGGTGGTCACGACCCCTGACACCGCGGGTCAGACTTCATCTGGCGATGAGGAGAAGAATATACTGGTGGCTTCTGACCCGGAACAGTCTGAGTGAGCGTTTCATTCTGTTGTGACTCCCATCATGCACTTCTTTCAATCTCTCACTTCAGCTTTTGTCTGGTCCTGCACAGGGAAAACATTATGGAGCAATCCGTGGAGTCCGAGGCCGAGTCCAGCACCACTCTCTCTCTGCCTAAGGACACTGTGCTGGGTATGAAATTATTTTTATTTTTAAATAGGCTATAGTTTTTATTAATGTGCCCCTATTATTTTTTTTAAGGTTCCTCGTTTTTTTTTTCCTACAACAGGTTTGCATGTATCAAAGCAAAGGTCAAAAATACTTTAAATAATAACAATAATTTTCTAATAATATACATTGCACATCACCTCACTTCTCAAAGAGTCTGAAACGGTTCGTTTGTAGATTTAGTTTCTCTAAACCCCGCCTTTCTACTAGACTACTCTACTCTGATTGGTCAGATAACTCAGTCTGTTGTGATTGGTCTACTCTGCTCTGATTGGTCAGATGGCCCAGTCTGCTGTGATTGGTCTTCTCTGCTCTGATTGGTCAGATGGCCCAGTCTGTTGTGATTGGTCTACTCTGCTCTGATTGGTCAGATGACCCAGTCTGTTATGATTGGTCTACTCTGCTCTGATTGGTCAGATGGCCCAGTCTGTTGTGATTGGTCTACTCTGCTCTGATTGGTCAGATGACCCAGTCTGCTATGATTGGTCAGATGGCCCAGTCTGTTGTGATTGGTCTTCTCTGCTCTGATTGGTCAGATTGCCCAGTCTGTTGTGATTGGTCTTCTCTGCTCTGATTGGTCAGATTGCCCAGTCTGTTGTGATTGGTCTTTTCTGCTCTGATTGGTCAGATGGCCCAGTCTGTTATGATTGGTCTACTCTGCTCTGATTGGTCAGATGACTCAGTCTGTTGTGATTGGTCTACTCTGCTCTGATTGGTCAGATGACTCAGTCTGTTGTGATTGGTCTACTCTGCTCTGATTGGTCAGATGGCCCAGTCTGTTGTGATTGATCAGAAACCAAACAACCATTACCTGAATCAATTCGAGTGTGAATCAAAGTATCGCATGAAGACCATATGATGGCATTATGAAAATTTAGTTGCATTGTTACGTAGGTTTGTAACAGGAAGTGAGGCTGGATTTACAGACGACTCGTTTCAGCAGTTCAGAATCGATTCTTTTTTTTAGCAGACAATTTTATTTGTCAAGCACTTTGCAGAACTTTTACATCCACCAACAGCTGTGTTACACACTGCATGAAAGGTAAAACATGAAAAAGCATAATAGGGAAACTTTTTGTTTTAACTTAAAACGAAAATAAGAAATGTTGCCTAGTTAGTGTTAAAACTATGTTAACTTTATTTCAAGAAATAAAGGTGTTTTTACATGGTTTTTAGTTAACAATATTATGACCCTGCACAATATATCATATTTTATTTGGCGTAACTATAGACATGCCATGTTCATATTTACACAGTGAAGATATCTGACGATACAGATGTGGAGGGTGATATTCTCTACCCGATAACCTGTGGAGACAGCAAAGCCAACCTGGTGTGGAAGAAGTTTGTGTGTCCCGGGATCAACATCAAATGTGTGCAGGTAAAGACACGATGATGATGCGGTCTATTTTTAAAACACTTCAAACTTACGTTTCTCGATATCTTTAGGCTTATATCTATCAATTCAGATAATTAAACACAATAAGTCATATATATTTTTCTGTTTTTAGCTAATGCATTCATTTCCTTCAAAAATTAAAAAAAGAAAATAATGCTATTGCTACATTTAAATTATCACTACTATTATGTTTGCAGTGCTAGTCAGGGCTATAAAATGAAATAAATAAAAACACATTTTATTTCAGCTAGTAGTTGCCAAGGCGAGATTTCTTATTTCCATTTCGCTTATTTTTATGTTCTAAAACTGTAATAAAAATGACTGAGAACTATAATAAGTCCATAATATAATATAATATAACTATAAAGTCCATAATATACAGCAAAATTGCTAAAACTTTAAAGGCGTAGATCACTTTTAGAAAAAACTTTTGCTGATAATTTACTCACCCCCATGTCATCCAAGATGTCCATGTCTTTCTTTCTTCAGTCGAAAAGAAATTAAGGTTTTTGATGAAAACATTCCAGGATTTTTCTCCATATAATGGACTTCAATGGGAACCAAACGGTTCAAGGTCCAAATGAGAGTTTCAGTGCAGCCTCAAAGGGCTTTAAACGACACCAGATGATGAATAAGGGTCTTATCAAGCTTTTTGGAGTCATTTCATTCCTTTAGTTCGTTGAATCAACCAAATGACTCGAAAAAAGATTTGTTCATTTTGATGAACGAGTTCGAACAGGAGAGTCACGAACGCTCATCACAGAACAGAGCAAGGCGAGCATTTGTGCTTCTAAAACATAAACTTTTTTTTATTTATTATTGAAATGACTGATCGTTTCGCTTGATAAGACCCTTATTCATCGTCTGGAGTCGTTTAAAGCCCTTTGAAGCTGCACTGAAACTCTCATTTGGACCTTGAACCGTTTGGTTCCCAATGAAGAGAAAAATCCTGGAATATTTTCATCAAAAACCTTAATTTCTTTTCGACTGAAGAAAGAATGATATGGATATCTTGGATGACATGGGGGTGAGTAAATTATCAGCAATAGTTTTTTTTAAAGCTAACTACTTCTTTAAAAGTCTTTAATTTAATCTGTTGGACAGTTCACATGTGCTTGATTTGATATATAACTGTCTGTGCTGAACGGCTTGCTGTGCTCCAGCTGAACGATCTTCTCATCAGTCCGAAGGAGTTCGTCTATATAGCGGGAAAATCCACCCTGAAGGACTGGAAGAGAGCCATTCGCCTCAATGGGACCATGTTAAGGTTTGTGGCACTGAGTGGGCAGAAACTAGATCAACTAGACATACTGTACATTCCAGCTCTGGATGTTTTTATATTAGTATATGGTGAAATATAAAGCACAAACACTTTTCTTCTTTTTTTTTTCTATCTCACTAATCTTTTCTTCTGCAAGGATGTGTTAAATTAATCAAAAGTGAGTGACAGTAAAGATTTTTTACATTGAAGAACTGTTCACAATAAGATGAGTTACGCATATTAAAGCAGTAAATGGTGACATTGTGTTTTTAAGTTCCAGTCTTCCTCATATTGTTGAAGATGAAGGAAGTGTTGTTCAGCTGGTTCTTCTTACAGGAAGATCATGGATTCAGGAGAGCTGGACTTTTATCAGCACTCCAGACTGTGTTCGAACACCTGCCGCAGTACCAAGATTGACCTGGTGGGGTCACGAGTGTCTCTCAGCAGCCAGCAGTCCACCGACACGGCTCCTGCGACCCCCGCCTCA